CAACCAACTGGCGCGTCGCAACTGCCTGGACCCCAAATATGAAATTGACAGTCGAGGGCCTCTTGCAAAAAAGCCAGGCCCGCCTTCACTTAGAGCGGGCACCTCCGCCTTCACTTAGGGCGGGTAATGCTGCAAACAGGGCCCCATAGGCCTACCGAGGACCCTGATCCTCGCATTCCCTCCTCCTTTACTTCGTGAGTCCTCTGAGAAGTCTCTTATTCGGCAGGCATCTTCGCCTTGAGTGCTCTTTCATAGCCTGCGATCACTTGAGGTGCTGTTCTCATGAGTTCTTCTCGTGTGAACCACCGGTCTTCTTTAGCATCAAGATGATGTCTGAAGCTCACACGATACTGCATTCTCGGTTTAGGAGGTCGCCCTCTGCCTGATGGTCGAGGAACAGGCATCACTCGATGCTCGACGATCTGGTCAATGTCCACTTCACCATCCATGGTTGGGGGCAGCATTGATCTTCTTGAAGGGAACTGCTCAGTAGCAGCAAAGGGTGCTAACTTAGAGGCATGGAACACAGGGTAGGTACGCAAGTGAGGTGGGATGCGAATTACATATGAAGGACCGTCTGGTTGATCTCCTACAATGTCTAAGATCTCCCAGGGCCCAAAGTACTGTGGCATCAGCTTGCGGGATATGCCTAACTCCTGGCCAAGCTCAGCGGACTTGATCCAGACTCTCTCGCCTACCTGAAAGTTTGAAGGCCGTCTATGCGTATTCTCAGATGCAATCATGGCTTCCTGAGATTTCCTGATATGTTCCACGGCCTGCTGCAGCATCTGTTCATAGTTGACAGCAAACTCTATGCTGCCGGTTATTGCGGTGGATTCTCTTTCTGGTAGCAGAAAGTCAAGGGCAGTTCGTGGCTTCCAACCAAGATGCAGTTGGTTGGGAGTCATGCCTGTAGTACTATGCACAGCGTTATTGTACAGGCTGGCAACGAGAGGTAGTTTCTCGTCCCAATCGTCCTGACTTGGCTTAGTATAGTGCCTAAGTAGGTGTTGTACTACTCGGTTAATTTGTTCCGCTTGACCATTTGACTCAGGATGATTCCCTGAAGTCATTTGGAGTTTTGTGCCCATTTGCTCAGCAGTAGATTGCCACAGTTCGCTCGTAAATCTTACATCCCTATCACTAACAATAGACGTAGGTAGACCGAAATCTCTTACCCAGTTGTCCATGAAAAGTTTGATGACGAAGTCAGTTCTAGCAGTTTCAGGCATAGCAATCAGTCTGGTGTACTTGGTAAAACGGTCCACTATGACAAAGATGTGTCTCTTTCCTGACCTGCTGGCGACAAGGGTATCCATGAAGTCCATGGACACACTCTGGCCTGGTCCTTCAGGGATCGGCAAGGGTTTGATCAACCCAAGCGGAGCCTGAGTCTTTGGTTTGTCCCTTTGACAAACCTGGCAGGTTTCAACATAACGTTTTGCATCTTCCAACATAGACGGCCACCAAAATCTTTGCACTAAGTTCGCTGATGTCTTTCTGTAGCCAAAATGACCAGTTGCATCATGACATTCTCCTAAAAATAAACTAAGCAAAGACTCACTATTAGCTACACATAATATTTTATTCCCTGCCTTCTCAAGGAACAGTAAGCCATCTACCATCGTAAATTCATCCAAAGTCTTTTTGTCCTTTGCTTGGAATCTACGGATGATTTCTGACATGACTGGATCTCCCTGATAGGCTTCCACCAGCGATCGAGTGAGTTCGTCAGATATGCCAAACTCGGTGACTAGTGCGCCCAGATAATATGCCCTTCGTGATAGTGCATCAGCCACTTTGTTATACGTACCCTTGATAGGATGAAGTTGACAGTCATACATGTCTATCACTTGAATCCATCTCTTGAGTGCGTCTGACAACACAGGTTGTGTCTTAATCCAGCGCAAAGTCTCATGATCAGACCTCACATAAAAGAATCTTCCTAGGAGGTAGTGTCTCCAGTGGACTAGCGCTCTGTATAGTGCGTAGAGCTCTCTCTCATACGTGGACTTAGCTAACTTTTGAGATGGCATCTTCTTGCTCATATACTCGATCGGTCTCAACTTGGGCCCTTCCTGTTGCGCAAGGACCGCGCCTATGCCATAATGGCTAGCGTCTGTGGTTACAATGAATGGCTTGTCAGGATCCGAAAGTTTGAGAACTTCGTAATGTGTCAGAGCATACTTGAATTTCTTGAAGCTTGCTTCACACTCTTCAGTCCACTCCCAAGGGGTGTCAAGTCGAGTTAGATCTATTAACGGGGAAGCTATAGTACTATAGTTCTTCACAAACGGACGATAAAGGACCTAATACTATAATTAAAGCAAGAGTAGCAAGCTGTGCAATCACTTCTATGTTCATATATATTGACCTCTATGTATCAAATAAATATTTTCAAATAGCAAAACCAAGTCTATTTATTTTATTCTTCTATTTTTTTTAGATAATAGTCTTTTATTTTATTCATTTGATTCTATTAATTAGCATATCTTCTATTTTTTCTAATTGTAATTGACGTATAACAGTCTGAGGTCTAGGCCAGTCACGTATGCTAGCCACCTTCGCATCTTCCGGCCTCAATCCATCTGCTGAAATTTCATGACCCAAGTACAAGATCTTGGTGCCACCAAACTCGCATCTATCCACGTTCACCTTGTACTGGTGCTGTCTTAGGAGACCTAGCACTGTTTTCAAGTGCTCAACGTGCTCCTCTACAGTCCTACTAAAGATAAGAATATCGTCGAGGTACACGACGATAAACTTGTCCAAGTATTCAAGAAATATCCGGTTCATCGCGTGTTGAAATGTACTAGGCGCATTGCATAGGCCAAAAGGCATCACCACAAACTCGTACAGACCGTACCTGGTCTGGAATGCGGTTTTATGCTGGTCCTCAGATCTAACGGCAATTTGATGGTATCCGGACTTCAGATCTATCTTTGTGAATTACCGGCATCCCTGCACCCTATCCAAGAGGTCGTCGATGCGGGGTAGGGGCTCCGCGTTCTTAACGGTGATGGCATTGAGGCCCCTATAGTCGATGCACATCCTTAATGGACCTCCCTTCTTTGGGACAAATAAGACTGGCGCACCGTAAGGGGAGGTACTAGGCCGTATCCATCCCTTCTCTATGAGCTCCTTGAGCTGGCGGCGAAGCTCATCTAACTCCGCGGGAGACATCCTATAGATTCGTCCTCTAGGCACCTTGCTAACTGGGACAATCTCTATCACATATACAACCTCCCTTTCCACCACGCCTGTAGGCTCCTAAAAAAGGTCTGAATATT